TATTTTACCAATTATAGGGAGAATATCCATGAAATTTTAACCAGACCGTCCAGGTTAAGGTTTTATCAGATGAGGTTTCGTTATCTTCAACATTGTAACGTCTCGGTCTATACTAGACCTATAACGGCTTCAAGAAGAGGGTCACTTTCAGGTTCATGGGAACACTTTAATTTTTATTTACATTAAATAAATATATATACAGAATGCTATTTACATAAAAAATTAAAATTAAAAATAGTTTGATTCCCAAGTGCAAATAATTTGATTCACTCCAAGAATTCAGAGTTTTCAGAGTTCTCGAGACTACGTCGAATCTCAAATGCGTGGTCTGCGGTAGATCTTAATTATCACAGGGCGGGATACACGAAATCACAAGGGGCTCACTTTGGAAACAGGTGGAAACTTCGGCTTGTTCAGTCACTTGACAGAAAAAGAGAAAAACAACATTTCTTTGTCGACTCGTCACAGAACTCTCTCCTTCCTTCTTCAAAAACCTCAATTTAAGAAAATCCGTCAGTAAGGGGGGTCAGCTTCCCTCACTTTTCAATGGAGTGGTCACTTCATCAGCCCACGGTCTATCACCAATCACAATGTAACAACTCATGACGTTGACCATATCCCATTTGCAACAGACAATCGCTAATTCCATGATGTATTATTATCCATGCCAACGGCCATACCATGCTGAATATACCGGTTCTCGTTAGATCACCGAAGTCGGGCGCGGTCAGTACTTGGGTGGGTGACCACCTGGGAACACCGCGTGCCGTTGGCATTCACAAATTTGGGACCTGAATGGCCGAGTGTCTAGCGCTCCGGCGCTCGGTGCCACAGGTTTCGGATTTGAATCCCGGCGGGGCCATGGATGTTTGTAGTGGTTCGGAATCCACTTTAAGCCGTAGGTCCCGGTCTCCTATAACCGTAAGAGCGTCACGGAGCCAAAGTCAGACTTCTACCTACGGGTGCTCCATCACAACAGAAGCTGCTTCCTTCCCCATCAATCATGAGTACGTATGGGCTCGTGGGTTTGGCCAGCCAAGTGGGATAAGAAACAACAACAACATTATTATCCATGAAACTGATTATCTGCTGTCAGATTTGAGTGATAGGTTGTTATTATGCACTTGTTAAAAATACACATATCTCTCTCCTGGGAACTAAAATGCTAAATCTCTTCTAGTGGTGAAAATGCTACAAGATTCATTAATGCCCAGTTAATAACTTTAAATTGTTTACAGTACATTTATTTATCAAATATTTTAATACGTTTTTAATGAAATTCTGTGAGTGATGTTTTATTTTTTAAATAAACATATGCAAAGGGGAATGTTCAAGTAGGTTGTGTTTGCGCTATAGCAAATATTGCTTAAATAAGTAAGTAAATATTTACGAATTTCGCGTTTATTGTTATCATTTGCAGGTAGAGTAGGTGTACCTCACATGGCGCCCTACATTGTAAGTAAGTTTGCAGCTGTAGGGTTCAATGAGTGCTTAAGAAGAGAGATGGATATTTGGGGAGTTCGTGTGATTGGTATAGAACCGGAACAATTTCGGTAAGGTTTTTAGAAATGTTCACATTTCATGAGTTTCAGTTTGTTAAAAAAAAATTGTATTTACACTATGAAAAATAATGCTCACATTTGTAATTAAATATTAACAAATTTGGCGTTTATTGTTATCCTTTACAAACAAAATAAATATTATGGAAAATGAGAAATAATTCTTCTGTGAAATTTGTGAATTTGTACTGCTAAGAAAAAATAATTTTATTTATACAGAATATATCAACCTGCCCGACTCATGACTCAGTGGCAGCACGCACCGCTGGTGAGCATTAGGCCAGAGGTCCAATCCACTGGCGGCTTTGTTGTCGACACTGTTTCAAAAAAAGAGGAGACTAGAGGGTTTTTATGATGTTCAGCATCTTGCCTCTTTAATCGGACTACCGGCTTTTCCAGATTTTCTCCTATATGATACGCACATGCAGGGTAGTTCCCTCTAAAGTCCTCCCGGAAGACAATGCCCTCCTTCTTCAGCAACACGGAGCAGAAGTCAGACGTCTACCTACGGTGCTCCATCACAACAGAAGTTGCACCCCTCTTCCCTCCTTCCATAAAGGATATGATAACAGCATATTAACCTTCTAATTTTTACATATTGTGAAACAATATACATATAATAATTTTTAAAAAGAGTGAAAAGAAATGTTAAGAGCTAATCACTACTTCCAAATCATATAAAATACAAAAAAAAAGAATTGAATAAATTTTTTTGTTAGTGTTAGAGTTGATAAATAATTAACTAAATTTTAACTTAATTAAAAATTAAATTTTTACTTTAATTTTATTACTTATATTTTTTAATATAAAATTAACTTTTTTTTAATCATTTTTATTAGATTTATTCATTTTTTCTGAAATTATAGAAATTTTTTTAAAAAAAGATCAGCACAATAGCCCCTTGTTGTATATCACGCGTTTGGAGACAAAGAAACACGCGATATATTGAAAAAGCGATATAACGGGTCATTTTCTGAAGATGGTGTAACTTTTTTTCTTAATAAAGGTTGTCACTCCGACTATCGTTTTTCTTTCTTTCGGTGGTTCTATTTTTCTTATTAGCCGCAGCTTTCTGATGGTTTGAGAAGTACTGATCAATCCATACAAACATTTATGGAATCTTCATTTATTTACAAGCAATATTTACAAGGATATACAGGGTTCAAAGGCAAAAGCTCAACTGGAAGAAAAATGTTCTTTTTAGAATAAAACAACTCGTTTCTACAGTAACAGCTGGCCTCCACGGCAACAGCCCGTTTCCCCAGCAACCAGCAACCCGTCTCCATGGCAACAGCGCAATTCTGAATCGGTTCCAAACGATTTTTATAAAACTACCATGTGACGCTGCGTGGCGCGAACTAAAGCATAAGAATTCCAACATAGGTAGCGAAAGATCCCAAACACGATACATCAAGAGGATTAATATAACGTACCGCTGGTTCTCACTCTGTTAGGATGCAATGTAGTTCTTAAACTTTCTCACAGTGTGGTTCATATACCATGAGGGGCACTGTTTGATTCTCAATTGTCTCGTTCAGTGGTTCTTAAAATGTCCCTTTCCATTCAATTTCACCCTCTAATGAAAAGTGAAGAGAAAATTTTTCTGCTGATTATTTAAATATCCAAAACAGATTTAAAAAAATTAAATTATGAAATATGTTTTTATTATAGTAAATTTCAAAATAATTTGGAATTATAATGAATGCAAAATTCGACTTAATCGTAAATTAATTGTTTTCACAATCTAAAAATTGTATGCAAATAACAGCATTGATTCTTCGATAGAAAACATCATTATTTTTTTCAAACAGAAACATATATCAGCGCTGCTTAAATCTATGTAGTTCCATACCAGTTAGAAAGATGACGGTAGAACATCGGTGGGCATCGTGAACAGCCCACCGATAGGAGAAAGGGGGAGGACAGAACCTTACGGGAGAACTTTTAGAGGTAACTGCACCGTGTTTGTGAATCATGTGGGTGAAAACCCGTGAAACTCCAACCAGGTAGCCTGACTATCAATACAAGGCGGTTTTACACACATTGTCACAATCTCCATAGAGTCTACTCGTTTCTGAAAACAGTGACTACACCAATTCCGCCACTGGATTCAAACTTTGAGTCTTCTATCACGCTATCTTTCCGAACTAGAGGTATCCAATATGAAGCCCTTTAAATGGGATCAGATAGAAAATTACTATTCTATGTCAGGAGGGTCATGATAAATTTGTACGTCAGAAGGATTTTCTGTTAGGTTCAAGAACAAGAGAAGAGGGTGCAAATCCCCAGATGACATCTATGAAAGTGTCCGTTGAAATTGCTGAAGTTCAACTTCGGTTGGACTTTTTGACAGGAATAGCAATTTCTTCTACAGTGAATCTGAATATGATTTTGATTGACACAATACTATCATATGAGGTATAAATGCTTTTTTATTATAAAATCATTTTAATCCCTTTTGGCAATAGTATAAATGAATTTTTCGCAGTCTTAAATGGCATGGCATTCACCGTGGAGAAATTCCATTGCCTTAAAAGAAGATAACAAGATCTATTCTGCTAAGAATAGATCTTGTTATCTATTGATCTATCAAGATCTATTCTGCTTTCCATGAAAGACAGTGTATTTATATCTGTTCTAGATATGATGGAAAATAGATAACATCTTCATCAAATCAAATTATTTGATCACAATGATGTTTTACATAAGAATGCTAATAACGTGTTTAAAATATATAATTATTTGGTCGAAACTGTGTTTCGTTTGTATAATGCACATAATCATTCAAATATGTATATTCTGATATATTCACATTCCTATTAAACTATTGACGATCTATATAATTGCCAAAAAAAAAAAAAAACTGTACTGACCATTTTTATTTCTTATGATTATGAGTTAGTTGCTTTATTTGAGCTCATAGTGACCTGTAGTAAATCCTGAATCTACCTATAAGGTTCTGAGTCATCTACAAAGAATTTTTTTTATTCTACCTGAGTATTTCTACACATTTATAAGGGTTTGCACGTTTCAAATAGTTTAAACGTATTAAATTTGTTCTGAAAAATCAGAATATATAACTTTTTGGTGATAATTTTGTCATATTGATCAAAAATAGTATTTTCCAGAATTCAAAAGACATGCTAATAGAACCGATGTTGAAAAAGCTTAATTTGGGAAACATTTAAAAAAAATTCTATAAATGACTTTAAAATTATGATCGCCAGACATAGTAAGTCTCTTTGTCAAAGAAAAATGCCAATTTGTGCACAAGATCTAATTTCTATAGCATTAATGCATTTATATATGACTATTTCGAACTCAGTGTTTACTATCTTTTTAAAAGATTTTGTTGATTAGTGAATTTCATGTCAAACAAATCCTGCTACTACACTTTTTCAGAATTTCTACTCGGTGCATATATCATGATATACACTACAGAAAGAGAAAAAGGCAACACCCTCAAGTTGTGATAATTTTTATTTGAAATTTTGTAGACATATAAAATAAGACAAAGAAAATTCAAATTAAGTTTCTTTCATTGCAGTTTGACAATTGAATCATTCCCAAAGTAACGCCAAAGTTTTAGTTTGATTATTGGATAAAGACACATAATAACTTTCTTGTAAGAATTTTTACGGGGAATTTTCTGTGATTAATTACAATGCTTTTTTGGAGACGTATAGCAGACAGCAGTTCAGCAATAGCAGAATTATCAACTTGTGCGAAAGCGATTTCTTTCTGACCTTTCAACAATTATATTTGGGTCATGATGGGGCAAAACTTTGAACACCGTCAAAATCTACAGAAAGTTTAACAGCTTTAGAATATCATATGGCAAAAATATTGGAGAGCACTCAACAACAACCCCAACAACGAATAGAAGTTCTCTATCACAGACTTCCAAAAAACATTCTAGTTTGAATTCATGCACAAATATTATTATTCTACATGTTATTTATATTTAGGCTTCCTTTTTTTGTAAAACACGAAATAATAGTATATTTTTGTTTTGAAATGATGATCTTTTACTCGCATAAATTAGCAATACTACTACTACTACTACACCACATCACTGTGTCTAGAACCGAGTTGCCCCTTTACAGCTTCGGAATGATGTGGGTGAAAAGTCTGATTGGGCTGTGTGACGCTCTGCGGTCATATGAGACCGGGACCTACGGCTTAAAGTGGATTCTGAACCCCTACAAACAT